AAAGTAGCCGCAGTCACCATCTGCTGGCCACCACATGCCTTGCTCCAACAATGAAAGCCACTGCTGATACCATTCAGTGTCTTCAAGATACATTGAGTCACCAATCTCAGAATACATTTGTGTATTTAAATGTCTTTCATGGTTCATACCAAGATTGCCGTGGACTGCATTATCCATCACATTTTGCCAGTTAGCTGAATAGGATAAACAGGGGGCATTCTCCTCATAGTAACCTTCATGGTATGAGACACCATTAAGGCTGTAAGTGCTACCATAATTACATTTACTAAATGTTGCATTGCTTTGCTTATTAGTTAGATTTAGTGCACAGTCTTCATACTGTACATTACCCAAGTCTTGATAACTGTTCCACAATCTTTTCTTTTGGTGAGCATCCACTTCATTACAACTGCTCAAGTTACTCTCTACAAAGTGTGGTTGTTGATACATGTCTTGCCATTGTACTGAGTTGTAAATTTGTTGATCTGAAGAACTGTAGTGCATAGAATTTTGTGGTGATGCTCCCACCCAACTCTGTCTACACTGGTGGTTTCCAGTGTTTAAGTGAGAGTGTATCTCCTCCCTCTGGAATTGTTGCCAAAGTGCACTTTGATTTATCCAGTGGTATTCATCATAAGGACTTATTACAGATGGAGACAACTGACCCCTAGAGCTTGATGGTGTACTTAGATTACTATGTGGCCACATTGTCATAGTTGCAAGCTCAGTGAGAAGGCTTTGAATATTACCTGTACTATAAGCCATTGAAGGAACTTGGTGAATAGTTTGAGGATAATATAGTTGGGACAGATTACCTGTGCTTACTGAGGAATAGGCTGCTTGACTTTGGAGAGATCTTGCAAATGTGGCTGAAGTTCTAAGGTCTAAACTTTCTGCATCGATTGACACTGGCGGTCTAATAAAAGCGTGTCTACTCTGACATGGGGGGCCTGAAAATGCTGCTGATTGATTGGCACTTTCTCTAGCATCATGGGTAGGATTTCTCATTCCAACAGAAGGATTAGAGGTGACCCGTGTTTGAGGTCTTTGCTCAGTGACTGGACCTGACATTTCTGGTTTTCTTTGATTACTAATTTGCTCAGTTTCCTTTTTGTGGAATAGTCCAGATAAAAACCCTTGGCTAGGTTTTGAAGTGTCCTTGTCAATAGGATGTTCCTGGTATAATTGTTGGGAAGTTACATTGCTTGGTTGAGCTTTTGTGCTCCTTTGAATGTTGTGGTGTGTATCTTTCTGGCTGGCTGTGGATATTTGGGAAGTTGACTCAATGTTGTCAGATTTTGTGATCTTGCTAAACAATCCAGAAAGCATTCCTGATTGGGTTGCAGATTCCTGTTTAGTTGTTTGATGATGTTTTATTTCTTCTGACTTGCGGAACATTTCAGACTGTGGTAGGTGATCTAATGTTTCTGATGATGTTTTGAGAAGACCAGACAGAAATCCGCTGCCTTCACTTTTGTGCTGGGGTAAAATAGTTTCCCTTGGATCTTTAGGTGTTTTGTTAATATCCATTGCCACTCTTTGGTCATAAGTGGATTTACTTTGTGAGATGTCATGTGTTTGCAGATTTTGCTGTGTGTCAATGCTGTCTGCTGAAGCAAACTTAAAAAGGCCTGTAAGAAGACCACTTCGCTGGGCTTGTGCTTGTTGAGGTGGAACAGTCTGCTGTCGGCTCATACCTGGCTTGTTTTTCTCCTGTGGGCCAAACTGAAGCCGTGGAGTTACGTTACTTAAAGTTGAGTTTTGGCTTGGACTGACTATATTTTGCCTATTAACAGGCTGATTAATATGGGCAGGAGATTTTTCATGAACAGTTTGCTTACTTGAATCACCCTCTGCACCAGTGAGTTTAAGAAAACCGGAAAAGAACCCTTGAGGCTGAGATGGCTCTGAAGTCTGTGATTGACTAACAGTGATGTTACCCTGATTTGTTTTTTCAGTTTGAACATTGTGTGGTATATTTTCTGCTGAAGAGAACTTAAATAGTCCAGTAAGAAACCCCCCAGATGTGGCCTGAGAATTGTTCACATTTTGTTGCAAAGGTATTTGATGTGATAATTGTGGTTGAGGGTTGCTTCCCATTTGGTGACTGGTTGGTGAAGGCTGATGAGTTGAACTATGGGTCAGATCACCTGTTGAACCAAATTTGAGGAAACCAGATAGTAATCCCCCTTGGCTAGGCTGGTTGGAAGTTGTACTTGGTTTGTTGTCACTTGAACTACCTTTTAGAAGACCGGTCAAAAAGCCTTGGGATTCTGGCTGACTTGGATTTCTGTTTCTGTTGACTCTCAAGTGGTGCAGTCATTATCCTTGAGTGTGAGTGATGCAAATGAGGACCCGATGGCATTCTGTTTTGATCAGGCTGCCTACTTTGTACATTTGGACTAGCATGTTGGGGCTCAGGTGCTGGGTTAAACAAGCCCGAGAACCAACCCTTTTCTGTGCTTTGTTGCGGTGCAGTGGAAGCCTGACTCAAATTGGCATATGGTGAACCTTGATGTGATTGCATGGGCTTTTGTGTAACATTTTTAGAGGCACTAACATCATCACTGGAGGCAAACTTTAGAAAACCAGACAGCAATCCTCCCTCTGCTTTAGGTGGTGGTTGAGTAGAGATGTTTTCAGAGGAAAGGAAAGGCAATTTTAGTTTACTACCAAATGATGTATCTTCTGTTTTTTGTGGGCCAGGATTTTGCATGGAATCATGAACTGGATAGACTGCAATTGGTGGTGGTCCCTGTGGTGGGACAGGAGCTGAGGGTGATATTAGGGAACTTAACGATTTTGGGAATGAACTGAATAAACCAGTTTTTTCTTGCTGTGTTGACTTTGGTGGATTGACAGACTCAGCTGGCACATTTTGCTTATAACTTGTTGTATTTAGTTTTTCATATACATTTTCATCTGACACAAAATATCGACTGGCAGGGATGTTTTTCATATTCATGCCATCAATGTATGTTGATTGTTTTTCTCGATACATATTATTTAGATCTTTTTGAAAGACCTGCTCTGTGGGTGGTTTACTTTCTGAAGGCTGTGAACTATCAGATGAAAATAACTTTAATGGATTCAATCTACCAAATACTGAATTTTCTGGTGCATTTTGAGATTTTAATGAAGTCTCCAGTGATGGCTGATTGATACTTGTCCTTAGAGGCTGGGTCGGGTTGCAAATATTTCCTTGTAATTTGGGATCATGTGAATGAGGAGACAAGTAAGCAAAGTTTTTTTCTGAGTCTACTGGAGATACTACTGCTACTGGAGCGGCATTCTTAGATTTCGGAATGAAAGAGAAGAGCTTTGTAAGCCCTGAAGTTTGAGTCTCTGCTGTCGGAGGCTGTGCTGTTTGTGGTGATGTTGCTGTTTGCTTGGTACCACCAACTTTGTCAGTAAGTGAACTAAATAAAGAACTAACTGCGTTTTTGACTCCTGTTATGCCTTGCTCAGTATTTTGGGAATTTGTATCTCTTTTGGGTTCTTTCAAAGTGTCATCGCAAAATGAATCTGTCCGATAGCTCCCCAAAGATGACAGCCTAGATTTATTGGATTTAGGAAGTGACCCATAGCGGCTAATTTCTTCCTCTTTTTCAGCAAGGTATTCGGAAACCGTTTCAACAAGACACTGAAGTTCATCCATGGGGTCTACAAATTCCTCAAGAGGTTCCTCTACTGGAGATAGCATTGCTTCAGGAGCCCATTCACCGAGCTTAGACTTTCTGCATTTCCTTTCCCGAAAACCTTGAGAATTATCTAAACCAATCTCATAAGAATATCTATCATTGTAATGCCTCATATTCTCTGAGTACATCTCATCAAAATATTCCACATCTTCATCCGAATCTAGGTTGAGATCAACATGGTTTTCCGAATCAAACTCAAATTGTGCCCTTCTCCTCGCATCTTCTTGTCGTTTGTATGTTACATAATTCTCCAAGGTATTGTCTAGGTCATTTTTAGCCCACATCCTTGTCTTATAAAGCAGTCCCTCCCTATAGGGTGTGAGGCAAGTTGACAAACGTTCCTCCTCTTCATGCATTTCTGCTAACTGCTGCATGAACTGCTCACCCCTCCTCTCTCGAGCTAATGTAGGGTCAGGGGAAAATGGCCTGTCTTTGAATTTGTCCCTCTCTGCGTGAGGAAACCCTCCTGGATCTCTAATCTTTTTTCTTATTCGTCGATCAATAGTGTCATAGCCTTCGGGGTAGATGGCGTGGTGATTCCGTTGAGTACTCTGATGGATGGACTTGTGTGAAGGCACTGAGTATGGGCCGCCCATTCGCAGGATTACACTGTCTTCTTCGTCATCAATGAAGTCACTGAGCTGTGGCTTTCCATGTCTCTTGTATTTGTTTTCCCATTCTTCGAAACCCATGCCAGAATCAACAGGTATAATCCTAACTCTTCCTTTATGATTAATTGAACTAAAATTATAGTGTGATTTTGTTTGGGAAGTGGAAGAGAATGAGGAAAATATAGGAAAGGAAAAAAAGCACAAATAAAGAAAATGCAAAAAAAAAAAAAGTTTAGTCGAACAGCATGCAAAGAATGCAGTGAGACAGCAATGCAAGAATCATGCAAAGGTAGTAATAAAATCAAGATTTTTTTTAAGTATGTAAATTGTAATGACTGAGGCTGTAGTCATTTAGTTAATTTATTGGTTGATGGTCTCTTAATCAGCTAATTATTTTATTTAAAATATAAGGGATAACAGCAGACAGGAGTTAGTGAGAAGGAAGGAGAGTTATTGTAAGATTTTACGATTTTGCTTAGAAATATTTTAAGTTACAATGGGAACTCTTCTGTCTGCCGTCCCTATCCTTTTAAAATTTAAAGAATTAAGTGTCTAATTTCAAATACTAAATTACTGAGAAAGAAAGAAATATATTTATATAAAACTGGTATATTTGCTTTGTAAGATCATATATTAACAAATGTGCCATACATAAGTTACATTATGAATAATCTTGTGTTTTGTGTACCTGCTTCCTCTGTGATCCCTGTAGTCTAACTCAAAGCTGTGAATGGAATCTGTGCAAGAGTCGTGATGGTGTGGAGGGCGTAGGCCCATTGGGTACTGGTGCATAGAGGAGTTGGGCTGAGCGGTTGTGTGGTAGCGAGGTGGCAGGCTGTTACTGGTCTCACTGCGGTAGTCACTGTCCCGGTCATCCACTGCACTGTCGTGGTCATCCAAAGCTAAAAAAAGCAACATATGGAGAGTTGTTGGAGATATGAAGATATGCAGACCCTATTTTAAACCTAAACAATTAAGACACAGCATTATACCTTAACAACAAATGTTAAACTTAAGAAGCCATGCTTGGGCCCATGCATCTTTAGATAACCCTTGCATCTGGCAAAATCACTAAAATGTAACATTTTGCATCTGAATGCTTATATCGTCAAAACAATGGACAAAAAGATGTACATCATAACTGTCATCATCCAATTAAGATAATTTTGTAAAGTATAAACATGTACTAAGTGGACTTTAACATCAATGTTTGTTAAAACAGCATGTCAAATTTTAAATAGTAAATGTCTAATTAATCTCAAATAAAAAGCCTTTGTACAAAAACTGAGCTGTTTCTCTTAACTTAGTATTAGTAGGCATGATCATGTTCACATGCACTGCATCACTTAATATTCAAAACTGCCTATTATGAATTGGATGTAAGGTTAAAAACAGGGGAAGCACTTAAAAAAACATCAGGGGAAAATGCAAGAAGTTTTGGAAAAATAGGAAAATAGGACATGCTGAAGGATTGGCCAGGGACAAATTTGAATTTATGTGATGTCATATTTTTACATACTGAGTGGGTCAGTCCATCCGAAATAGTTGCCTGGTGGAAGTGCAGATGATAAAAGTGAAAAGTACAAAATTAACATAAATGTGTTGGATGTGCTGTTAAAAAAATACATATCTCAAACTGAGCAAGGCCAAGGGGAATCCAATCAGATAACACAGAACTTAAAATTGTATTTTAAAAAGCTAGATTATTATGTTTCCATCTCTGATGAGTAACTGTGCAGCCTCATTCAATTAGAAAGGAGACCCTAAGGATCTAAAACCCATAGGTAGAAAAAGGGCTCCATCTATAGGCATATGTTATTATTACAGTCAAACTTACAACACTGAGATGCAGCAAAGGGAAGGGAGCGCTGATCGTCCTGAAGAGGATACTGTAAAAAACATGATCATAAATTGTTGCTTTATTTGCTACAGTGTTTTGTCATTAACTTTTTGGTCATAAATATACTTCACCTCATCATGAATAGTCATTGTATTGATCTGTTCCAGCTTTCCTGTCCAGTATTGAGCTTCATCATCTGGAATATCTAACACAGAAAAGTGAACACATTGATAAAGCCACGTCAAATGCATACATAAATTACAATCTGCTGTTTAGCACATTGTTGATTTGATTTTTTAATCAGGTTGCCTTCATGTTTTCGTTTTTTGATGTAATTGCTGAAGGAAGACAAAGGGCCTATATACCTCTGGGTCCAGTCAAGCGGTAACGGAGGGAAACGGGCAGATTTTTTACATTCAAATACCTCTTATTAAGAAACTAGAATGTATCAGAATCAACTATCAGAATGTAGGAAAGACTTAGCCCTCCAATAGGGTAAAGTTAACCCTGCGATATTCTTTCAACTTGTTGACAAAAAATGTTAAAACTCATGTCAGTAACAGAGGGAATGAACTATGCAGCACTTTTTGGGCAATAAATACAAACAGTGATAACTAGCGGTTCTCACTTACATATCCTTAACAAACTGGTTTGAATATTTGCTTAATATAGTTTTCTACCATATGGTACAAGATTAGGTTGAAAAACCTCTTAGTTTTTGAGAAATTAGATTTTTTATTAAAAAAGGTCATGGTAATGGAGGGAAAAGTAACAGAGGGAAAATTGTGCAAGCAAGTACAAGGTGCATGATTTTGCATAATTTGTCAGCTTTTTTCTTCCGAATATTTTAATATTACTTCAAAATGAAAGGTAACTATATCTATAAAATATGTCAGTCCTTCCAAGCAAATTTTTATCATTTTAAATAAATTTTTCTGAAAAATCATGTACCTTCATCAACAGTTCAAAGATCGAATAACACAAGATATGATGAAATACATAAATTTATTTACATGATTTGCAGGTCCTTGAAATTTGAGAAATAATTTTTGTTCCATGTTTCATACATGGTCTGTTTAAAACTTTAAAACCAAAAATGATACAGAAAAAAGGTCAACAGTTTCATAAACTAGAGTACATATGCTATCTGTTGAATACATTTTTATATCAGATGCATTAACTCGAATTTTTGGCCTTGCTGTATACTTCTGCTTGACCGGGCCCCTCTACGGGAGATTCACTGTATTTGCATTTTGAACATTGTTCCAGTTTTTGGTTTTGCAAAGAGATATTAACAAAACAAAGTCAGCAAATCAGCCTTTGTGACAGTTAAACAGCAATGTCCATCACAGAAGTCTGACCTGTCCTCTAGCTCCATTTTTACCTACAAACATTCTAGTGTGTTATCACGTAAACACAACTATATTGTTTCTTACCTGGCAGAAATAGTTAACATAATCTCAATAATCTTATATCCAAAGATGGTGACAGTAGTTTATGGATTAAATTTTAGAAGTTATTATTATACCCTTAAAATAAGCACCTAAAAGCCAATTTCCCCAACACTTACCCTATTTCCTGCCCCCATTTTTCTTAACATGAAATTACTGTTGTATAAGGTCAGGCGCTCTCTCCAGTCCAGGCCTTTGCCACAAATGCACATTAAAGGGTGCACAGAGTAAACAAAAGGGTGCGCTTCAAAGACCCACCACCCCATGGCTTTAATGAAGAGATCTGGTGGCACAGGCCATGTGGATGGAGCAGCCTCCTGGTACCATGAAAGGCCTGCCCCTCACATACACAGGACACACACCCAATCCTCACTTTGATCCTTTTATATCACTGTTGTAAAGGAGGTGATGGGAGAAATTATTTGTTTATGGTTCAGATGGACAGTAAAGGGGATTTTTTAAATGCAAATTGATAAATAGTATATTTTGTAGTCTTGCTAGTAATTTTAGTAGTATTAGAATAGTTTTTAAATATTGTGCCAATGACTAGTCCATCCATTTACAAGGACAAAATGGCAATAGTATCTGTTATACCGTGTCAAATATTTAGAGCTAAACAACTGCAAAACTATAACCAACACATGACCTTATTTATTTCACAATGTAGCCACAACCATTAAAAATACATTACAAAGTGAGCATTAAAAATATATTTCTAACAATTTTGTCAATTATTATGTAAAAAAAAAATAAACATTTTATCTATGGTGTACAAAAGATAAAACCTCACTCACCATTTGTGACAAAGTACCTTATTTTGAATCGTGAGATAAAATAATATGTACCAAATCAGAACAGACAGACTGGCTGTTCTTTATGGACCAAAATGGGTAGGGAGACTATTCCATGGGTTCCACTTGACTAGATTTTTCTTTCATATGAGACAAAAACCTGTTTTCCCAGAATTAGGTAAAGGTACAGCTGTATACATTTAAAAACATCCCCAATGCCTCTTAACTCTATTAGCTAAGGTCTTATATCCGCTCATGATCATATTTAAGGTCCTTAAGTTAATTACAGAGCAACTCCCACACAGTAAAACAAAAAAAGTGCATTAGAGGATGTATATCTGCAACATATATCAAAGAGAAAGGCTTTTACTGCTACTTAGTGTACATTTTTATAATATAGTGTGTTTTGAGTTGATATGGAACACAATTACTTCAATAGGAGCTTATCTATATAAAATGTGTATGACCTACATGTAGATGCTTTCTCTATTGTTTGTGCTTGAGAATGGAAGGCAACTGTTTACCTTACTAATATCAGTGATGCAAAATTTGTTACAGGATATTAACAAATTGTTATATAATGATGTAAACTTAAAAGCTGGTTACTGATTAATCTGTTTTGTAATTATTAACATAAAAAGGAAAAGAAAAGCAAACAGTGATAGAGATTGACTGGTTACTTACCAAAAGGCAGCTCAAAGCGAGTATCCAAAAGAACTCTGTGGGGGGTTGGGTTTTTAGTTCCGTAGATTTCATCTGCCTTCATGAGAACCTCTGAGTCCAAGTAGATCCAATCTCCTGAACCCTCCTTCAACAAGTCAATAAGATAATTTAGAAGAAAACTTTACTCTTTTACTTCTGCAATTGTTTTTTTGCCATTTCTTTTAATTGTTCTATTTTGTATAATCATAGTCTAAACATATTCAAGACCATTTAATGTGGTTTTAATTTGAAACTTAGTCAAAACAATACAGCTTATTTCTTTCAATCATGGAATTAGGGCTACGAAACTAGTTGAATTTGAATCGAGATCAAGATTCAATCATCTCCAATCCCGTCTTTTTAATTGAGGGGTCCACAGCAAATCCTCTGTCATTAAAAGCATGTGGTTTGGTTCAGAATTTGCACGGAAACATGTGTTAAAGGGCAATGATTAAAAGTCTGTATATTTAATGTTTAGGAAAGAATTATTGAAAGGACAATATAGACAATACAGAATTAAAATCAAACAATCATGATACATTTTTGTCATGCTGCATAGCCCTACATAGATAAGCAATGTTATTACTATAAATAAAAGGCATTAAGGTTTCAATCATTCATTATTGGTTGAGTGTGTTCATGATCGCACCTCTTCTGATTGCCGAACATTCTTGAGAGGGATCCAGGCAGTCCCCACCATAGTGTCCCAGATCAGGCCTTTGTTCCACACTTCCACAATGAGGCCCAGGTCCAAGCGGTTGATTTCACTGTACACAGGGGCAAAGCACATCGTCAAGGATCATGCAAAGTCAAGAAATCTACTTTTATCCTTCTTGATAACATGTGTGGAAATGTCAATACACAGTAAGTTATGTCAACAGTGATACACATTGTTACAGGAATAATAAAATGCAAACAATTTCCGATTACGAATTAAAGTGCCTATGACAACTTACACTACAAATTTTGCTTCCTGGTTGGACATGGACAGCAGATGTGACAATACATAGAGGTAATTCCCTAACTGTTATCTAGCAAGCACACTGTAAACAAGGGCAAGAGCTTATCTAAATTACACAATAGTTATGATTTCACTTATTCACACACACAAAAACTTTTTTGTGTTACTTCCTGTATTTTGGTAGTTTTCTTTTTTCCACAAACCGTCACTTAACTGATGCAAAACTATGATAAATATTTACCATAGGTACTACACCATTAAACCAAGTAATTATTGTAAAAACACAAAAACCTGCCATATGCACTTTAATCTTTTGCATAGACCATAAAGCTCTAAATAACTACTATCGTGCACAAATGCTTCTTCCTTTTTTGCAAATAAACCATCTTTGCCACTCCCCCTTGTTTAGTCATTCATCGTGGTATTCAGAAAGCTTAAAAACAGTGGGACGATAGCATTGAAATGGCATATTGAGCTGCCTGACAAGAGCATTTGCATGTGCTCGTCTGTGCCGACCACGACTGGCGCTAACAAAAGGAGGATGAGAGGAAAGATAATCAAAGAGCATAGCTAATTGACACAAGTGCAGGGGGGAGGGGGATAGTCCAGGTGCAAGCATAAAAGCTCTCAAAATTGTATGTATAAGAGGGTGTTAATAAATAAACACAATTTGATACGAGGGTCAGAAAATTCTAAACTAGCTTGTTTGTTAGAAACATCAGAGGGTTGATTAAAGGTGCACTATGCAACTCTTACAGTGCTTGTCTAGATGGAGATGTGTTTGCTTTGCCTGAAATGTTTCACAGTATAGCATTAAATATTAGGGCTGGGCAAAAATAAAAAAATATTAATCGCGATTAATTGCATGTTATATGCAAAACCAATTAATGAATTAAAAAGTAGCGTACAGCGTACTTTTATTGGAAATGTAAATGAAAGAGCCACACATTTGTTGTGCAAACAGAATTTCTTTCAGTGGGGAACCATCAGAGCCTTCAAGGTATTATGAAGGCTCAAGAAAAAATATTGAATGAATTTTTGTGCTACTAATATATTTTTTTCAATATTTTTTATTCAGTGAGTAATAAACACTACACTAGTAATAATATCTAAATCATAGTTATAAAGTTGGACTGATATTTCTTGGGAAACAAAGGTTATTTATAACCTTTTATAAGTTAATATAAAGGAATGGAAATGGACCAATCACAATTTTTCTTCCAATGATATCTGCGTAAATCAGCGACTCTCCCTGCAGCATTGAACCGGTGGCTGGAACGAAGTTTGAGATTGACAGTTGTCTTAGCCAATCATATGTCATTGAGTTATGGGTGGAATCATATCACGAAATCTTCCGGACCTTCGTGAATACCCTGTAATAGCCTTATGTAAGCGAGACTGCAGCGACAAAAATCGCACTGGACACCTCTATCTGGACGCCTCAGGGGTGTCTGGAAGAAGGAGAAGACCAAGACCCGTGAACCGGAGCGCGCGGCCCGGTCGGAGCTAGGAGCCCGCGGAAGCTCAGAGCGCACGGCTGGTCCGGCCTGGCTGCGGGCTCAGCCACGGGTTCCGGCTCCGCAGCTGGGCCGGGCCCGCGGCTCTCGGCGCCTCGGAGACGTTGCATCTCACGTGGTCAGAAAAAAAGTGAAAAAAGTGTAAAGGAAAGACGTCAAACTTAAAGAAACGCTCGCAGTGGACTTTTTCAAAATAAAAGCCACTGAGCAACAGACGTTTACAATTTTTAAAAAAAGTAAATAATAAAAACCGTGTTAACGGTGTTAAAATAATTGTTGGCGTTAATGAATTGATTAGTTAACGCAAAATTAACGCGTTAACGTGCCCGGCCAATATATATTTTTTGTTTATGAAAGTGCAGGTGTTATATTGCTCAAAATACCTGGAGAATGCATGCATTAATGTGAGTGGGATCACCTATCCACAGATCTGACCTGTACCTTGGCCTGGTAGTGCCAACCGCTTGTCACTCTGGAGATAGTGGATGAATAAAACTGCTACACTGTGGAACATTCCATATCTTCATGGAGAAAAGAAGGTGATGAAAAGTTATATAGAGTACTGTGTAACAAACAGTATTATCCTTCTTTCAGAACATAAACAAAATTGCAATAATAATAATAATAATAATAATTAATCTACCCCAAAAAGTTCACACAGGGAGGGTAGTGCTGGGACCAAACTCTTAACCTTTGAGTTAGTGTGTGAATGCTGTAGGTCTGTTCTTGCCTGCATGAAAGTGGTGTGTTGCTCAAATAAGATCAGTTATAGTATGGTACCCTTAATATTGTTTGGTATTATTTTTGCAGATAAGTTCAAGAATAAATTAGTAAAGCAGAGAAGAGAGGATGTTGAATTAATTGCATCATAAATCTCAATCTCTAATATAGTGATTTTAAATTTAGTGTCAGAATTCCTTGTGCACAGTTTGGCAGTATTTCAGTAACAGGTGGTGTTGGGCAGTAACTGGAAATGCTGATGAATGATAGCAAATGCACATTGTGGACTCATCATTAATGGACAGTCGAAGGATGGATGCGCGGAAAAACAAACAGAGTAGCAACCACAGTTCACAAAAGACAAACAATGACACGAGTCCAACAACAGGAGGGCTCTCCCATCGCCATGGCTACCTTTTACTGGGAAAGTGAAATGAGGAAATGAAAACAATGGATTACAAACTGGGACTGAACCACAGCTGGACAGCACATTTACAAATCAAAAACACAGTTTAAATATTAAAAAGGAAAGTTCCCAAAAGGTAAACTGAAGCAAATGAAAAAAAACACAAAGTGAATAAGCACTCTTCAGCTTTTGATTGTAAAAATCTAATTATACAGTAATTACAAAAAAATCACAAAATACTCTATCAATATTTAACTGGAATTGTTTAGACAAAGATATAAAGCTTTCTCTTAAATGAATGAAAGGAATACAGAAGAATGTACTAAACCAATGATGAAGAATGGACTGATTATGGAAATCAGTGATAGAAATGGCTGTGTTTAATTAAAAGGTGAATTGCACAGCTTTTCAGGTGAAGGGTCTGGCACATTCTTGTCTCTATGGAGATGTTATTACTTTGCTCTCAAAATGTCTCAATATGGCATTAAAATCCTGTCCCCTCCATGGAGTCAAGGAAGTGACATCAAGTTTCAGGTCAGATCTGTGGAGAAGTGAGTCTGCTCACAGTAAGAATTTATTTTTTCAAGGTTGTTTCAGACAAACAATTCCTTCCTTAATTGAAGGAGTTTGTGAGGACATTTCCCCAATCAAAAGATATCATATTTCGAAACCGATTAATTGTTTGAGCTATAAAACTATATGTAATTAAATAAAAGCTATGATAACTTCTACAACAACTATGACAACTCCATCTCCATGGAGATAAACAGGTAGTGAACCTCTACCAGAAAAATCACATACTGAACCTCGATTATTAGAATTATAATTATACATTCTAATTTAAAAAACGGGTATCTAAAACTGACTGAACGCAATGCATTCTCCATACACTCATGATTTCATTATTGCTGCTTAATTACAGTATATTAAATCAAGTTATGCATAAGGCATACAAACAAAAATCTAATCTTTAGAGAGGCAGATTCCTTAGTTTTGAGAAAGTTGTATTTACTGTTACATTTGTATCATCATAAGTGTACTCACAACATAAAATCTTGCTCCCAACATGGCTGCTCCCCCCGCACTGTGATGGTTGTGCTTTTGACATTCTGCACCTTCAGTGTCACATAGGTGTTGAACTTGTCTGAAAAAGAAAAACATAGGAAGAAATCATTAGAAGAGTCTATGCACCATTTCTATTTCTTAAAATATGATTTTCAATCACTTGGCTTGATGGGATAGTACCAGTGGTATATATTTTCATAGTTTTACATCAGTCAAGCTGCAGTTTATAGAGAAAAAAAGTAAAGACAAATTTACTACAATATAGGAAGTAGCAGTGAGTTCTAAAGTGGAATACCTCAAGGCTACATATATCATCAAGACTGAAATTTTATTATTTATTATTTTATTTAATTTTATTTTATTTTGTATTATTATTAATGCAAACACAATTTATTTCCAAGAAAGGCATTTTCTGGTATATATTTAACATGATAAAGGTGTTATCATTTTTCTTTGTTGTCGTCCAATTTAGACATGGCCCTTGTTTACAATGTGGTTGCTAGGTAACACAACTGGAATAAGCAGGAAGTAAAATTACCAAACATCACAACACAACACAACAGAAATACAATTTTATTTAATTTAAAAGACTAGACAAGCTCTTTTATAATCTTTTATAATCTTAAATCTAACGACTTTAATGATTTCGTGAAATGAGCCGGTCAGATGCTCTTCAAAGGTCCTATAATACGCAAAATTTATTCTTGTGACCTTTAAGCCATATTATTATGTTGTTACCTCATCAAAAACATACCAGGAGTTGTGTTTTGTTTTATTCACATATATCATGAAACAGTAGTTTTCAAGTTAACAGCTGCCTTTTAGGTAGGTTTAGTTTGGCAATTCCAGGGTGTATGGAGTTTAAAAACAGAGCCCTTTCTACCACATGGCATCACAAGGTGGAAGAGTGTTTTCTGTTTGAGGGAAGAACTAAGTTAAATATGCAGGGTTTGTGTGTTAAATATGTGTGAATGAAACAAAACACAAGTCCAAGTATGTTTGAGAAAAAAACATCATAATAGAGATCAGAAAATAGCATAATATGGGCCCTTTAAGTACATCTTGCTATTTCATGTACATCATGAGTGACTAGTGAAAGTGAAAAGAGCTTAGCCTCCATCCCCCTCCACAAGCCGAGACCGACCAAGCCAAGCCGACAAACTGAGCCTGTTAATCCTGTAGTGTGAGCTGAACCCTAGCTACAGATAAATGTACACAATCCTACAAGCCCTCATCTCTCCCCGGTGGACATTTTCAAATCTAAGCACCACTGGTCAGTGATGTAACAAGTCTGGCTCACATTTGACCGGTCACTACAGCAGAAAAGGTCTCTGTCATGTCTCATCCCAGCAGAAGAGTCTTTATTTTTCAGGACATGAATGAAAGTTTAAGTTCAAAGGTATACAGTGAATATAGCAGTTCTTCTTGGAAAGAAGGGTGGGAACATAGCATCTGCAGTTCTACAATTTAGTATCAGAACTGTAGAGCTGTAGACCTTTACTTCTTTAGTCGTTTAAGTGGTTGATGGAGTCTTAGCAGAAATGAAAAATTTGTGAGTGAGCTGAAGATGTGGTATTTTTTGGTATTTATATGTAAATGGAAGACTCAAACTCATGATTTACAACTCTTTATTGTTTACTATTTACCTTACTTCCTAGTACTTTTTTCTGCATAAGCAGTTGTATTTACATGAAGTTGTGTATCTTTGAGTGCAGTTTGGGTCAGATACATACAGATATGTAACAGTTTTGAGAGCTTTTGCCACGCCCAGTTTGAGCTGACTAAAAGATTGGCAGGACATGTCTTTAGTCATCCAAGAAATTCTTTACTCAAATACAGGCCTACAGAACTGTGCATATAGTGCAATGATCAAATATCAATCGAATCAAGATGCAATAGTTTGAAATTGTCATTGATTAGCATGGTATTTTTAATAGACATTATCAATGGCAATAATATCAATATCAGTATGAATTCTGGCACTGATTCGGTTAAGTGCATGGAATTAAGATTGAGTGTACACAACATTTCTTTTCCTTACATCAAACCTAATAAAAACAACAAAAAATGTATTACAGTGATTTTTTTGTCAGTAGTCACATGTTCTAGGGATGCATCAATACAATGGCTATATATATCCATGCAGAGAAATTTACTAGCTTAGATATAGAATCAGAATAGGTTAAGGATTAATTTATGCATGAAAAGACAATAAATGATAAGGATGCGACAAGACAAAAATTGTGACAAAATTAAAAGAGTGTGCACACATGAGGAAAATTAACTTGAGAGTTTTAACCATATATTTGCATTTGGATTGGACGAAAAAGGATTTAACAGTGGTTAGTAAACATTTTGAAAAGCCATAGGTTCAAAAATCAGTGCTACAAAAACAGCAAAAATTTGAAATGGACATTTTGAGAGCTCAATTTTGATAGTATTAATTTTTGACTTGCACTAGTGGTAAAACGCATAGTCTTTTTTAGTAGGTGAACATGTGGGCTGTAGACGGTTGAATAATTATCATATGGGAATTATGACTCAGTACATATGCTGACTCACTTTTGACAGTACATTGTTTTTGTTGCTATTGTCTTGGCAGTCGTGACAGGCTAAGTTGGATTCAGTGGAAATATAAAACCCAACAATCAAGGACAAAGGACAAAAAAGTTGCTTCTTCCAAAGAACAATAAACAACATGATTTAGTTAACGTCATTTTCTTACAATCCTCTTTAATAAAAATATTGCCTAACATATTTAGCACTGAAAACAAGACAAGAGACGAACACTTTAATCTTTTTTTGCACTGTATGACCGATGCCACCTGATGCTTTTGTATTGACTTCCATTGATGTCAACATTGATTAGTGTCTAGTCAATGCACAAAGACCCTATAGCTGTCACGTTTAATTGTTGTTCAAATTAGCTATTTCTTCTCCTGTACAATTCATTTAGTGCTTTGACACCTGTGATCCATGGTCCACAACAGCTGGCGGTGTGGGGAGGGGGCAAGAAAAGATGTGACTCAACCACCATTTTTCAGTTCTATAGAGGGTACTTTCAACAGTATTTAATGTCGCATGATGTAAGAAAAATACCTAACTGCTATTTTTCTGACATGCATTGCGATTGTTTAGATTATAAGTAGTGCCGTTACTGATACTGGTGTCGAATATCGGATACTGTTTCCATGATATCGGTTCAGCTGGTTGGGCTTTTAATTGGATGCAGTCCTTCAGTCAGTAATGTTTGAATTTTAATTCACACAAAGCTGTTCAGTAGTAACTTGCAGGATAAATAACATAAAACAACTAAATAAATTTTATCATGAGTTAACTGTATTTTAAGAGAAAAAAAAGCAATTTTCATTCCCCTCACTGGTATCGATTAATCGGATATATTGGCAGATACTTAAAGCCACAGTATCAATATGGGTATCGGAACTCACATGAACAGCTACCTTTTACCTTTTGCAAAACTTTAGGGGGCAGGAGTGGCACTTGGATATACAGAAAAATTGTGCAGAATTGCCCTTTTGGTGCTATTCAGTGTAGGGACCAGTCTCAAATACAACTTTAAATCCGCACCATAATAGCCATGTCGAGTTTGCCCCGATAAACACTGAATCAATCTGCAATATGGTATTAAAGGCTTTTAATTATTTGGTACTTTTTGAGTGCCTCAGTTTTTTCAGCTTTGTATTTGAGACCTTTTACCTTTTGTTTATTAGATATGGGCAATTCCATGGATGAAATAATTCAAATGATTCTAGTGAAGGTGTATGGAGTTTAAAAACATAGTGGAGCACTTATTTATTACCACATGACATCACAAGGTGGAACATAGTGTTTTCTGTTTGAGATAAGAACTCTCTCATCTTAATTAAAAACCATAATATGGGCCCTTTGAAAAACTGCAGCCTTTGCAATTTGCTGATTGCATTTAATACTGCAGCCCTATTCCTTACCGTGAGCTGTCTTTTGAGTCAAGATGTGCATGATAATTTCTGTTACCTATTCATAACCAGGATAACGTGGGAGAAAGAAGTGGCCTGGATTATTGAAGCTGCCCAGTGTAATAACAGGTCTTCTAGTTTGTGTACACAGAGTACTTCAGTTTTATATGCGACTGTCTGACCTACATATTATAGTAGATAGACAAAAGAGTATGCAGTGTTTATTTCAACACCAGAAATTGAAAACATAATAGATGTGATGGTCATCTTTGTAGAGAAAGAAACAATGATTCTAGTGTTTATCTTTATGCTCTTTTCTGTTGTGACAAAGTACTTTTTCTCAATAAAAAAACAGTACCTGAGACATCATTTATAGAATAACCCAATAATAAGATTTCACTGTCCTCAAGAAATCTGTGGCAGTTAAATACAGGTTTTGGGTAAATGTTGTGTTCGGAAGACAAACTATAATTCATTTAAAAATAACTTTCAACAATGTTCTTTCTTTTTTTCTCTTTGCCACAGTATCTCGCCCTTTTTCACATAAACAAATTTGATTACTAATTAGTGATTTCAAACTTGATAAAAAATAAAGAGTATTACTATCCTTAATATTATTTCTGGCCTGTGAAAAAAACTTTTTTACTATTGATACTTGTTGTCAAATGAGTACTAGTTTTAGTATCAATTAGTATAATTTTCAAAACTTACTATAATAATTTGACAACCTTATTACTCACATTAGATGTTACTGTTTTCGTCCAAATAATCTCATAACTCCAGAAATTAGATAATGATCAGGTTTTTGGTGTGCATTTTGTTAATGAAGTAAAGTATTACAAAGAAAACAAACAAACAAACAAACAAAAAAAACATTAAGTCTATTAAAGTATAACAGTTGAATAGAATGATGAAAACAAAGGCGTTTTAAATCAATACTAGTACAGCCTAATGTTCAAAGACCACACTCTGTAAGCTACTGTCTAAGTGTATGGGAAACAAAGACAGGGCATCAGCTGCCCTTTTTGGACAGTCACCTGACCACACTAAACAAAGATTTCCCAGGTTACCATGGCAACATATTAAAACATTTACACTCCTGAGCGGGCAGATAAGTCAACAC